ACATAACTTTTAATAATCAAATAAATTTATATATTCGAAAGCTACGTAACTAGTTGGTCAAACATAGCTATCGGTTCAAAAATTTTGGAAATTAAAGTTAATTTAAGTGTTAATAGTTACTTGCCATGAAATGATTAACAATTTTTATTATTATTATGTAAAGATTTCCTAAATGTTATCTACAAATATTTTATTATATTCTGTCCCAAATTATACAATGTAAGTTTAAAAGGGTACACATTTTAAAGCGTATGTGTATACTTTAAAATTTGGGATGTAAAATAAGTCATATGTGTTTGTGTAACTATAAAATATAAATCATTTATTGAGAGTGAAATTGATATTTTAATATTTAATTTTTACTAAATATATAAATATTTTATTTTTGGGATACTTACTAAAAGAAAAGGCGTGTAATATAATTATAACAATAGAAATACAAAATTATTGACCAAAATTAAACTAAAATAAGGAAAGTAAAGTTACAAGTATAAATATTACTTTCCCTAAGTATATTCCTTAATAGTAAATTACAAACTCTTTAAATACATTTTTTAATTTAAAAAATAAATTAAAATATGAATCCAAAGTAGTTATAACTTCTCAACTTTATATTTTGTTAATTCAAAAGTAAATATCTTATCAAGTTTTATCTTTATCCTAAATATTCTAAATATGTGAGGGTTAGAATTTGAAGTAAAATAATTTTTATTAACTACCCCACGTTCCAATCCCCCCCCCCCCCCAACCCTCACATACAATGTGTTGTAATCTAACTATCCATATATTATACTTGGTGCCAATTATTTGCATGGCAAAAAGATATTCATATATTATACTTGGTGATCGAGTATATATGTGTCTATATATAACACTTTTCTTATAACATAATATAAGGCAAGATTTAGTGAAAAGAAAAATATTCAATAATAGAGAAAAACTATTACTATCAGGGGCGGGAGCCGAGGGGGTTCACCTGAACCCTGTCACTAGGAAAATTATATTGTATGTATAAGATAAAATTTACAATTTACGTATATATATGATATGTTGAACCCCCTCAACATAAGATTAGTACACAGTGCAGCGGTTAATAGGGATAAGGTCTTCCGATTTATGCCGAGATCAAATCTCAGTGGAGGTGTTCTCATTCTGATTTTCTCTCTTTTGTTAAGACTTTTTCAAATAGGTTTATATTGTAAATTTATGGGTTTCTTTAAAGTATTATATTAATACATAGTAATATTTCAATAAAAAAAATTATTTCCAAGTAAATATTATTATATACTTAATAAACTTTTTAACAAAGATATTTACTTTAGATAAAAAAAAATATTGAATTTAAGTTCATTGATTTATGATTTAACCTGTTTCTATCTAAATCGACTAGCATGCTTACTTTTTTTCGAACCTCCTGAATCAAAATCTTGGTTCCTCCACTGACTATTACTACTACTTTGTGTCTCTCTCTTTCTCCTTTTTTCTTCTTGTCATTTTATTTTACTACACATGTTTTATTTTATAACACGTTATCAGCACGAGTCTCTTCATCTACGAGAATATTGAACTGTGCATTAGCCCAAACATAAATAACATAGAGTATATTCTATTTTGCTATATAAGTCTTGTTATACTTGATAGTCTAAATTTGATGTGTCTAATGTAATTATTGTTAATGTTATCATGAATCTTTGAAGCTAAATATTGGAAGGATAATTAGTATATACTTAATTGATAACCTTGTTGGAAGAATTGAACACACTGAATTCGCAAGAAGACTAAAAATGAATAACATGAATTTTTAATTTGATTGATACTTTGTTGTGGTTATCACCTAGTAATGCATAATTGTTTTTAAATGCGATATAAATAATTTAAGGAATGCATATCAAAATTTAAAAAAAACAAAAGAAGAAAAGGTATTAAAATTTCTAGTGTTGACCTACATTAACTTTGATCAACATCATTGATTATTTTTACACTTGTTTATCTTTCACTAGCTAATCATTTACTTCTTGATTTATTATCATATAACTTATTTAATTTGCTTTGAAAAGGTAAGAAAACTAATATTTGAGAAGTATTTTATTTTCTTTTGAAATCATCAAAAGGATTTTTTTGTCACGAAGGATTCTTTGAAGAGGCAATAGTATGTTATTTAGGTTGGCAATTAATAAATTTGTCAATGGTAAGCTAATGGCATAATTTTTGCTTTATGGTAAGCTTCCTTCATAATACTAATTCAATTAATTCTGATTTGTATGTATCTACAAAAAAAAATGCTAATTTTTTAAATCTATAAAATATGCTAGATGTCATTGAGACAATTTGACATGTAGACTTTATTAGGTCCATTAGTGTTTATTTAATTTTTGAATTTTAAGGTATCATTTTATTGTGATGATTGGTGTTTACCTCCCGTTGTTTTATCTTCGAATTACAATTGAAGAAAGAAATTTTCTTAACTGCCAATAAATGAAGTTAATTTTGAGAATTAATTTGTTGATTTTTCAATAAGTGAATTATTCATAAAACTTTTAAAGTTGAAATAGTGTTCAGAGCCACCTATGAGGATCGACTGTGCTTCGTTTAGCAAAGGTAATAATTTGTATATGATCTTTTGAAGTGATATGATTAAATTTATTTGTGCTTAATAACAAAGCGACAATATTTTAAAGGTTCCGGGATGAATTTTATTTTGTACTATATATAATGTCATTAATTGATGTAAAATAGTGTATTCAAATTTCACCACACCAAAAAGATAAGATATCGATTATCTTTCCTGTTTCCTGAAATATACCCTTCAACACCGATTATCTCAAGTGAAATCAAGTCCCTATAACCAAACGTTGAAGTTGACAAGCCAAAAGAATATTACTAAATTAATTATTTAATTTGAATCTATATGTTTTGACATGATATTAAAATAAGCATATGAGCATGTAATATTTTACTGTTAATTAAGACAACTTAGATAAATTATAAGTTATTGATTGATTTTATAAAAATAAAAAAGATATTTTATTATAGAGCGTGATTTTTATTTTAGTGGTGATAACTTTTTTATTTCTGAAAAATAATGAATACCTAAAATGTATTTAAGACCGTAATATTACGTCATTCATACAATAATCACATATACATTTTTTTTTTCAATCACAATCAATTCAACTTTTGAATGATTTAAGAGAAGACCAATAATCCAAATCCACTAGACTATCATTAATGGATAGGATATGATAGATAGGATCAATGGATCAGAGACTTCAAATCTTATCGCGGTAAAAGTAATATACTAATAGAAAGTATTAATTTCAAAGAATTTTATGTGATGCAAACTAAATTACTAGTTAAGTGAATATTAGTGTTGCAATAGTAATTCAAATTGATACGAAAAGAATTGTTAATTCACATTATTAATTATCACGATGAATAATAGCACGAAGCTATCGTGTGTTGAATTATGACTTTATAGTGGCGAGAACGCCTCCAAATCAAAATTCGAACTAGAAGTGACGATTGTGACCGCCTTCCACTTGCCAATCCACAGTACGGACCTTTTGACCCAAGGGCATGTATTGTTGGTAAGTCATCATGACGTACAAAAGGGTCCCACTGACCACCTTGATGTACAATTTTCACATCAAGCAGCAAATATAATTTTAGCAAATGACTTAAATATGTAATGGAATATTGTATGTGACAAAGTGATCTTGCTATCACGATCCACTAAAATCAGTCATTTTTCGCTTCGATTTATTAAAGGAAAAGAAGGCAAGTGCATAACGAAAATCAAATTGTTATTGATAAAAGAGAAAAGACAAAAAATCACCAATGAAGTTGTTCCGAATGTTCAAAAAGACACCTTAATTTTGCGGGCGTCCTATCCACAAAAGTATTGAATATCTTTATAAAAAAGGACTATTTTAAGCCATGCATTTTCTCATCTGGTAAGACGCGCGTGAGCATATCACCTGGTATTGAATATCTTTCTTTTCTTTCTTTTGTTTTCCATTTCTCGGATTTTCATGTCTTTTTTATTTCTTGGTCAAGGGATAATGGAGTGGAGATAATCTCCTTCATTTTTGTCAATTCTTGGTCAAAATTCTTGGAGGAATAGCTGAGTAAACAAGGAATTGAAGGTTAACACGCTAGGGTTTCTTACATTATTTGAAAAAGATCACATTTTAATAAGTAATTAAACCTTGAACAATTTTAAATTAAGTTTATCCACTGGAAATTAGAAACGAATAGTTTTTGGGGAAGATGATGAATTCATCAAAGAGAGTTCCAACAGCTCTTTTGAGCTTGTTTTGAGGAAGATGATGAATTTAAATAAAGTAAATAATCAATAAAGAAAAAGCTGAAATGTGACATCTTTTAATTGTTTTTTAGCACAAAAAACAAACTTTCACGTGCGTGTTGTGTCTGTTCACAAATCATGTGAGAAAATGGATCAAACTGATCCTTTTACAAAGATATTCACTACTTTTGTGAAGTAATAGGATGACCGCAAAATAAGATGTCTTTATAAAAATCCGAAACAATTTCTATGTCTTTTCTCTTGATAAAACAATTATACTAGATCAAGCCTCATAAAAAAAAGACTGACGGCCCTGAATCCTATAAATCTAAGCTACTTCCCTAGAACAATAAGTATTAATTATTTAGACATGGTTACAGAAAATTATATTCCTAAACCTTCCACTTGATGTATATATGGACATATGGAGATAGGCTAGTGCACATGAATAAAAGATTCTTTAACAAAAAATTTCTCAAACCCCAAAGTGTTACAACTAGTGCCTAGTGGTCAAGAAATTAGAAATAGTGTTTGGTAGTATTTTCAATAATTGGCCCAAGATAATGTAAGAAAATATCAACTATATCCATTTTTTCATCTTTATAAGCCAAAAAATGTTTCTACTTCCCTTACTTGTCAACCCCACTTTACTAGTCTCCTAGCCCTTTTTGTTAATTTTTCCCTTACACTTTCAACTATGTCTATAGTTGTAATAACCACTTCTCTCCTCATCTTCTTTGCGTACTTAACCAATGCAAATGACATGTTCTATAACAATAACAACAGCAATAATCATATCGATGAGGAGGTAAAAGGTATATATGAAATATGGTTGGTAGAGCACGGTAAAATATATAATGGGCTAGGAGAAAAGGGGAAAAATTTGAGGTTCATCGAGGAACATAACAACTCGAAAAATCAGACGTATGTGCTAGGATTGAACCGATTTGCTGATCTCACGAACGAGGAATACAGGACCATGTTTTTGGGCACGAGGAGTGATGCTAGGCGCCGCCTTGTTAAGTCTAAGAACGCTAGCCATCGTTATGTTTTTCGGGCTAGCGATCATGTACCGGAATCGGTTGATTGGAGGAAGAAAGGTGCAGTTGCTCCTATTAAGGACCAAGGGAGTTGTGGTAACTATACTTTTTTATTTTTCGAGTCTATTCTTATACTTGCTATAAGTGTAGGATGTAACCTTTTTTATAAAATATCTTTAAGTAACTAAAATATATTCTTTCTAATAGCTTAAACTTTTAGATTATCTTATCTGACATGATATTAGGAGACATGCATTCGAGTCACGCTGTCATCCATTATAAAAAATGGATCTCCACATGCATACTTTGCTTATCAAAAAGAATCATGCTCGCACCACTACTATAAACAAAAGTTTTTTCCACCGGGAATTAGTGAGAAATTTGTGCTATAGAACATGATTTTTTCACTCATTTAACATCGAACCAGCTCACTGGACAAATACATGATGGGAAATAGATATTTTTGATCGATTCAATCAAAAATATCTGTGGAATTAGTTACTGAACAATTTTCGGTGGAAAAATAGTGATTCTTTTTAATAGTGTAGCGTGTTGAAAACACAAAAAAATAATTAAATCTATATAAATAAAAAGTGTGATTTCTCTAATAACTTAGCATTGTTATCACTATGTGCCTTTGATAGAGGTGTTTTGATCAATTTGATTTACAGGGAGCTGTTGGGCCTTCTCAACAGTAGCTGCAGTAGAAGGCATAAACCAAATAGCAACAGGAGAAATGATCACCTTATCTGAGCAAGAATTAGTAGATTGTGACACAATGTATAATGATGGTTGCAATGGTGGCCTTATGGATTATGCTTTTCAATTTATCATATCCATTGGTGGTATTGACACTGAATCTCACTATCCTTACAAGGGCATCGACCACAAATGTGATCTTGTTCGGGTAGGTTTATTAATTTCGTTGAATACATCAGTAAATTTCATTTAGCTATTCAAATTATAGTCCGTTCAAATTGAGTATTTGACCATATCTTAGGTGATTAATTAATCTACACAATAGTGCCTGAGAACACATGCACGAGTTTATTTTAAAATTTGAATAGAAAGTGTCTAATATATATGCATATAATAAAACCTCACTAAATTAATATTCGATTAATTAATAATCTCTCTAAGATAATAATTTCCTCCCGTCCCGGCTTGGGCCAATGGAAAAATTCACTCATTTCGATAAGATAATAAGATAATATATTTTCAGAAGACCCCTATATAAATATATGATCCATTAATATTATAAATTAATAATTCCTTAAAAATACAAATATATCTAAGAAAATTTAGTGAAATATGATTCGATTATGTTCTATTTTTTTGTTAAAATTTAAACTAATTGAAGTTCATCTCTAACTTTTCTAATTACATCCAAAAGTTTTGGTGTTATCTTTTCTAATTGCACCATAAAATTGTGATTAGTTTTAGATGCAAATGTTTCTTTATGCGTAACTAGTTTCAAAGGTATTGTATTATCTTCAACTTTATCGTCAACATTGTTTTTCCAATGATATCCACAATTTTTTCTAAGCTCTGTACCTCTAAACATGTATCATTTTCACCCACAACTTTAACGTCCATTTTATCGCGGTACCGAGATCATTAATCATGACCTCAAGTTCATGAATGACGTTTTCACAAGTGGGTTTTTTCAATTTCTTTGAGATTTCATCCTGAACAATTTTTTCAGTGTCGAAACACTCATTAAATTAATAAATATTAATTTATCGATTAAATAATACCTCTATAAAATAATAATATTTTATGATTCCGCCTATATTAATTTAGAGAGATTTTACTATAATAAAATATTCTATCATGGGTTCGGATGTTCAATTGACCAGAGTTCAAATGTTCAATTTACTCATAAATTTAATTTGAAATGTGACAGAAGAATGCAAAGGTTGTGAGCATAGATGATTATGAAGACGTGCCAGGAAATGAAAAGGCACTTGAGAAGGCTGTAGCGCATCAACCTATTAGCGTAACCATTGAAGCTTCAGGCAGGGCTTTTCAGCTTTACTCCTCGGTACATATTCATAAGCTTTTTATAAGATTAAATTTTTCTTTAACTGTTATAGTAAATAAAGTTCATTACTTCGTTATTCTCATACCTATGAAAACAAAAAAAAATTATACAAAATGAAGCATTAAAAGAGTTTTGAGAAAATGTATATCTAGGTCAAAATATCATGAATTACAGTTGAAAAATAAAATAAAAAATAACTATTCAAGTTAAAGGAATAGATATTTTGTTCACTAGGTCCTCTACGGTAGAATATACACCTATGCAATAATATAATATCTTTTCTAGAAAATACAGTCTGACAACATTGTATACTCAATACATCTTGAATAAAATATTGATTTTGAAGCTCTATCAAAAAAGCACATTCGTTCAATAAGAAGTGTCTTAATGATCACATGAGTTATAAAGAATAATGACACTACATATTATCTTCACTTTTATGTCCACTAATCTATTGCACTCCAGTATTTTGATATTAAAATGACTCTACCACCAACAATATATTTAATTATGCTTCAACCGTTATTTTCTTTTTTGAAATTGCTTGGTGATACTTTAGTCAAGAGTTTATTCGAACCAACCTCGATACTCTATGAGGTAGTGATAAATTTTCGTATATTTTATCATCTTAAAATTTTATTCCTGAAATCATAGTGAATATATTACTCCGTATTCTGCATTTGCTGACTTAAAATCTTGAATACGTCTATCTATGTCGTCAGGGCATATTTACTGGAAAATGCGGAACGCAATTGGACCACGGTGTGGTGGTGGTTGGCTATGGCACAGAAAATGGAGTGGACTATTGGATCGTCAGGAACTCATGGGGCACTAATTGGGGGGAAGATGGCTACATCAAAATGGAGAAGAATATAGAAGCCACAAATTCTGGCAAATGTGGAATTGCAATGGAGGCGTCTTATCCAATTAAGAATGCCATAAACAAAATTACTATGGGAGAAGAGGGGATTATAAGAAGTACCTAAAGAAATAAAACTGCCACAAAGTGGATTACTTGGCATGGATTATGTCTATTTTGTGATTTTTAAGTTTATGGGCGTTGTTACTCCATGAGCATTATTTGGGCATTCCTTTTAATGGATTTGTCTTAATATATGTATGTTTATTTAAGGATCAAAGCCTTTATTTTATATGTTGACAAAGTTAAACAGAGAAATCAGTGATATCATACATATTTTTTTTTACTAGAATAAGAAGTACTATACTTACCAACCAATGCTTTTGCATGACCTTCTCTCTTTTCTTTTTTCTTTTTTCCTTTTAAAAAAAATGGAATCCATCCACTCAGGGAGGATCAAAGTCCAGCATAAATGTTTCTTCACCCTTCTCTAAAAGTTGGTCAGTTGTAGCTTGTTCATGCATAATATGCCCCTTGCCTCCAAAGAGAGTCCATTTTCATCAAGAATTTTTTTTTGCTTTTGTGCGGTTGTGGGGAGGATCAATTCCTCGCATTATGAATTCACATAATAAATAATACATACATTATAACTCTTGCACAACTAGTAGGTTAGTCAAAAATATGGAGGCCTCTTTTGATATTCATCATCCTATGGCATATTCTGATAAATCTTTTTAGGCTTATCTACTAGAGGGTCTTAGTAGGTGTTATCATGACCCTAGTTTTTGGATCGTGGCAAGTTGGTATCATAGTCCTAGGTCACCAATGCAGATAGTGCGAAGCTAATGTCTAGTAGTGTCCTGCAGATCGGTGCAGAGACGTTTGTATTCTATCTTCAGGAGGCTATAGGTCATCTTTAAGAAGATTCTAATTTCATTTGATTCTATATCATGTGTCCTTAGTCCTGTGTGTTTCTAAAATTCTCATTCATTTCATTCTTTCAAAGATGTAGCGTAGGAGAGGTGCCACAGATAGGACGATTCTCCTGGTCCGACAAATAGAGCCCAATTAGGGGTAGAGTTAGAGGTCGACCCTGAGGTTGTGCACGAGCGGCAACACCCCCCTGAAATTAGGGTAGATATGTGACCCCTGATCTGGTCATTGAGCCCTAACAGACGCCTATTCCTCCAAAACTACTGGGCCCAAGACCAGCCCAACCAGCACCTAGGCTTGCAGTTGCATCGGGATACATATGGTCAATGCTCAGCTTCTAGCGGTGTTAGGGTGTATGCAATAGACCCCAGCAAGTGCAGGAGCACAAGATGTCGTTGTGGCACCCCAGGTAAAGGTACCATCAGCACCTCTGGTGGCTCAGCTGATAGTAGTCGAAGACGCCATGTCAGTTGAGGAGAATAAAATGCTAGGCCAATTTTTGAGAATGTCTCCTCCAAGGTTTTCATGGACTACAAATGAGGATGCTCACAAGTTCTTGACCAATTTCCATGATCGATTATACACACTAGTCCTTGTTGAGTCTAGAGGGCAGACTACATGTCTTATCAGGTAGACTGACCCGCCAAGTAGTGGTGGTGTTTGTATATATGAAGTGTAGACCAGCTGGATAACCTCTCCTAACTTGGGTACATTTTTTTGAGGCCTTCTTGGCCAACTTCATACCTCGCAACATCAAGGAAAGATTTAGGGATCAGTTTTCTAGGCTGGAGTAGGGCACCATGTTAGTGTCAGAGTATGAGACATGTTTCCATGAGCTCTCCGGACATGCCACTATGATTCTTCCCATAGAGGAGGAAAGAGTTTGATGTTTTCTTCAAGGTTTGAGACTCTTGCTCTGGATTGCTTTAGAGTCCTTGACATTAGTAGGTAGGTCCTTTTTAGATGTAGTTGAGCATGCTAGGACTATGTTGGAGCTCTATCGTGAGGCCTGTGGGAGCAACGATAAGAGGGCTCACTTTCAAGGTAGCTACAATGGGTCCCAATCTTGTAATAGGGGCTTTTCAGGCAAAGGTCAGCATGCTTATCAGCCCCTGGGGTATTGCAACCGAACTGGCCTCACTCTAGACTTTGGGTCGTAAAGGCTTGGGTAGGTCGTGGATCAGATAGTCTTCCTTATAGACCTTGGGGAAATAGAGGTTGGCCACTGTTGGGTTTAGGATCTTTTTTTCCCTTCCTATGTGGATAAATAAAAGTCTTATTAGGATCAGCCCACTTTAGCCCATAAGCCCAATATTATGTGGCATATATAAGGCTTATTTATGTCTTATTTTCAGAAACACAAGAGAGAAAAATCAAGAGATATCCGTTTAAGAGATTGAGAGAAAGAGAGAAAAAATCCGTTTTTGCTTCAAGAAATTTTCTGCTCAGGCAGTCCGCTTCAAACAGAGTTTACCGCTTCGTCAACCGTTGGATCATTCTTAAATTTGACCTAGGCGTTTTCAGAATCAGGTTCTTGTAATTCAACGGTGAAGATCGGATTTGGATATCTGTAGCTTCTGATTTTGGGGCGTGAACAGTAGCTTCCTTTTGGGTGAAATCTCTCCTTTAATTCTCTAGTTTTGGTGCAATCTTGTTTTGTTGTTGCTCGTTGTTTGACACTTGTTTTGTGGCCAATTTTGGAGAACAATTTTGTAACTCTTGGTGTTTATAGTGGAGCTTTTGGTCCTTGTGGTTTTTTACTCTTCACATCGAAGGGTTTTCCACATAAATCTCTGTGTCTCGTGTGATTGGTTTATTCTTGTCTTATTATTTTAGTTTGGTTGATATACTTGATGTCCATTCTTCATATTGTTTGATTTAGTTTGTCTTCTCTTGGTTCAAATTGAAAGGGAAAGTTTAGACTTGAGTATTATTCCGTTGTTATCCTGTCGGGCATTCTTGTTAGTGCCTTGCCTTTCCCAACAGCCACTATGTTAGAGATTGCCCTAGGTGCAGGGTTGTGGTTCCTGCAAGTAAAGGCGCTGCTCAAGGTCGTAGGGGTTGTCTGATAGGTGCTCGAAGAGGTACTTAGATAGGTACAGTAGGTGAGAGATCTAAAGCCAATCTGATAGTGGACGTGGGCATTTTTTTGTGGTTCCTGGCTAGGTCAGAGGCTGAGGCTTAAAATTCAGGGAGTGTAGGTACGATCTCAATTTGTCGTCTGCCGACTTTTGCTTTTTTTTAAATCTAGGCTCTACTTATTTGTATGTATCTATTTATTTTAGTCCTCGGTTGGAGTTGCATTCTAAGTCCTTAGTTCCGTTAGGTGTATCGACTCTCATCAGTGATTCTTTAGTAGTGGATAAGGTTTGTAGAGCCTGTGTGGTGACAGTTTAGGAGTGTAAAACATGGGTTGACCTTATATTTCCTGAAATGCTTGACTTTGATGTTATTTTAGGCATGTACTTCTTATCCCCTTACCTATAGCCATGCCTAGTATTCCCCTAATTGTGTGGAATGGTTCTGGTTGCCGCACACCGACTAGGATCATTTCTTATGTTAGGGGCCAGAGGTTAGTATCCAGTGGGTGTTTGGCCAATTTTGCATTTGTTTGTGATGTTAGTAGAGAGGGCCCTAAAGTCGATTTGGTTCCCGTTGTAAGAGAGTTCACAGATGTGTTTCCTACGAACCTTCTTAGCCTTCTTTGAGTGCTACTGACTTTGAGTAGGGCACTTGTCCCATTTCTATTATATCCTACTGTATGGCACTAATTAAGCTTAAAAAGCTCAATATTCAACTTTAGGATCTTCTGGGTAAGGGATTTATTATAGTGAGTGTCTCACCGTCGGGTGGTCATGTCTTATTTATAAAGAAAAAGATGGGTCTGTGTGGATGTGTAATGATTACATGCAGCTGAATAGGATAACAATGAAGAATAAGTACCTAATGTCTCGTATTGATGACTTTTTTATAAGCTTCAGGGTGCCGCTATGTTTTCTAAGATTAATGTGAGATTCAATTATTATCAGCTGAGGATTAGGGTGGAGGACATCCCTAACACAGCCTGCAAGACTTGTTACGGTAATAAAAAGTACATGGTGATGTATTTTGTGTTGACCAATGCCTCAACGACGTTCTTGGACTTGATAACGCATGTGTTCAAGCCTTTTATAGACTCCTTTGTTATTGTGTTCATCGATGACATTATTATATACTCCCGTTATAGGGTGAAGCACAAACAACATTTGAGGATTGTGATCCAAAGTTTCAGATATCAATGACTTTATGTCAAGTCTCAAAGTGCAATTTTTGGCTTGAGTTTGTGGCATTTTTGGGGCACGTGGTGTCCGAGGAAGGGATTATGGTGGACCCAACGATGATTGAGTTAGTTGAGATTGGGCTAGGCCCACCTCTGGATAGATATTCTGAGTTTTGTTGGGTTGATAGGCTACAACAAATGGTTCATCGGGGACTTTCCTTTTATAACATAGGAGTTAACTAGGCCGACTACCTTGGATTTCCCCTTTGAGTGGTGCGATGAGTGTATGGCGAGCTTTCTAAATCTCAAGGAGTTTCTAACCACCGCTCTTATTTTGACTTTTCAAGTTGAGGATGAGGGGTTTAAAATATATTGTAATGCATCCAGAGTTGGTTTGGATTATATTTTGATGCAGTAGGGTCGTGTTATTGCATATGTGTCAAGGAGACATAAGGTGCACAAGCACAACTACCTTATTCATGATTTGGAGTTGGTAGCAGTAGTTTTTACGCATAAGATTTGGAGGTACTACTTGTACGGAGTTCATTGTGAGATCTTTATGGATCACATGAGTTTTTATTATATTTTGAGCAAGAAAGACCTTAATTTGAGGCAACTACCTTATTCATGATTTGGAGTTGGTAGCAGTAGTTTTTACGCATAAGATTTGGAGGTACCACTTGTACGGAGTTCATTGTGAGATCTTTATGGATCACATGAGTTTTTATTATATTTTGAGCAAGAAAGACCTTAATTTGAGGCAGTGTAGATGGATTGAGCTCTTAAATGACTATGACCTCTCCATTTTGTATTATCTGGACGAATGTAATGGTGGAAGTTGTGAGCTAGAAAGTGGTGAACATGGGGAGTCTGGCCTTCCTTTCTGTTTTGCAAAAGACCTTTGGCCTCGAACATCAAGTACTTAGCCAAAAGGT